TTTCTTTCAACACTTTTTCTTTACAAAATATTACTTATGATGACTTAAAGATTTTGTAAAGAGGCACTTTCAATTGTAAATATTTCTGAATGTGTCAAATGTTCCTGACTCACCGTATTTTGCAAATAATTTAAACTCATATCCACACAGAAAAAGAATGTTCACCAGAAGCATAGATTTTGTAAAGAGGCACTTTCAATTGTAAATATTTCTGAATGTGTCAAATGTTCCTGACTCACCGTATTTTGCAAATAATTTAAACTCATATCCACACAGAAAAAGAATGTTCACCAGAAGCATCTGTGACAGGTATTGTTAAAAATATTTTCAGAATGGTTTCTGAATTTGGAAAGATTGCCTGCAACCAGTCATGTACAAGTCTATACAAATCATATGGTGATCTGGAAGCACAGAACTCATCGTTTTCGATAAAATGAATGAAATATTTCACTTAATCTTCAAAAACATCTGTGTCTATGTTCTCTCTAGAAATTCACCTCTACTCTGCAATTGTACTATTATTGCACTGACTTGCTTAGCATCACTGGCTTTTAAATTGATTTCATTGTCTCTTGTTTTTCATTGCAAAATAATTTCCTGGGTTTTTTTACAGTTCTCATCAGATATATATCAGAAGAATCTATATTTCCTATTAATGTTAGTGCTTTTGCTTCCATGGAACTATAGCCATTTCGAACTTCCATGACAAAACTTGTAACTGAGGCTAACAATTGTGCAGCATTCAATACATTTGTATTAACTTTTTTTCAGTGATTTGCTGATGGCATTAATTCTTGGAAGTAAATGGTTCCACAAAATAGTAAAAACAGCAATAGCATACCATTTCAAACTTTTCTGCTAAGGATGTTATTTCAGTTTTGCACGTGTTTTTTCAGAGTTTGATGTGGTAATGTCTAATAAGGTTCTCTGTATAACATCATAGCTCATTTTCAAAGACAAAACAGCATCTGCATAAGTAGACCACCTAGTGTCAAAAATTCTTTTCATTATCAAATGTTTTCAATTTGCCTGCTCCAAGCTTAATTGTAGCATATTCCACCGATGTGTGGGGGAGAAAAAAAAGCATGCATGTTTTGAAAGAAGTCAAAAAAATGTTTAGCTTCATAAGATGTGGCTGCAGTGTTGCAAATTAAATTCATGGAATGGCTGGAACATGGTATGAATAAAGCAGAGGAATTTGCTTTGTTCAGTCTTTCCTGTAGACCTAAATATTTTCCTGCCATATTTGTGGTGTTATCAAAGCACTACCCACAACAATTTTTGATGTCCAAACCTAAATTTATAATGATTTCCAAAACTCTAGTTTCTGGACATTCAAAAGTCTGGGATTTTAGTGGGACAAAACAAAGAAAACACTCTACAATTTCACCATTTCAACATTAATCTTAAAATTAATGTTAATTGGTCTACATGACTCGCAATCTGGTGTTGAATCGACCACTATGGAATAGTACTTGGCACCCTTTACTTCTTCAGTGAATTGGTATCTGAGCTGTTCTGCCATTATGGTAATTAATTCATTGTAGGTTTGGTGCATTAAAAAGTTGGTTTTCCCTGAGTGACAATACAGATAATTTTTCAAATGCTCATTGAGAAAATTGTCAAATTCACTAAGATATTCAAGGCAGGTTAAAAAATTACCTTTTCAATTTGACACTGATGGCTCATTGTTTCCTCTTGGAGGTAGTCCCAAAGAAGACAGCAGTTTCACCATGGCAACAACATGTCTCAGTACTTTCCTCCAATAAGGCTACTCCTTGCCAAACTGAGCCAATAACACAGACAATTTACATCTTTGGAAGTTTCATAATCAGCAATGTCTCTTGCAACATTTCTCCAATTAGAGTGCCCATCATCAAATGTTTGTTTTCCTTTAGTATGGTCAGGGAATAATTTGCAAACATAATAGTAGACTTCCTTGCTGGTTTCCAGAGGAAAAAAATCAACCAATTACTCATTTCTGTGGTCCAATTTTTCTTCATCCTCAGAAAGCGGGACACATGAAGACCTCTAAATTGCTTTCATCCTCCAACATCATACGCTTTTCTCAAATTTTCCGTATTACCTATGTTTTTTGGTTAATTCACTCAGAATTATCATGTCCAATGAAACAGATTTTGGCCATAATGCAAGGCCTTCAGGGTAGGCTTCTTCCAGTACTTTGACAAAATTGCCATTATTTGTAGTTCCATTGCCACTTCAGAGTCCGCTTGTTCAACTTTTGCAGTCATCATGGTATCCCCACCACTCAGCAAGTGATCAGATAAGTGAGATGTTTCCTCACCCATACTTTTTGATGAATGTCCTCTATTCACTACTTCAAGATTTTTAAAATAAGATAAACTGTCTTTCTGCTTCACTTTGTCTTTTTGCTTCATCTTTTTTTTTGCATTTTTGACTGCCAGACTCATAGTATCGCTTCATTATTGCTAAAAAAGTTTACCTTGATTTTTAGGCAGATTAAAAATATCTGAAAGAGGAGAGGTGTAGCTATGGGTGGGCCTGAGTGGGCGGTGGGCTGGACCACCCATTCCCTAATTAGGTTTAACACCAGTAGCACTGGACCATTTTTAATAGTTGAGTGCTGAAAGCCAGTCTCTCTCCTAGGTGTAGGTCCAGACCTGGGTGCAGGCCACCGACACAGGAACTATGGGATCAGGAAGGGCTGCTGACAGAATAACCAACCCCCATGGCAAGGTGTGTGTGGGAAGATCTGGGATCCCAGGAGTGCAGGGCCTCAGGTGGAAGGGGCGGAACTGGGGGCTCAGCGCAGGAGCAGATCCGCCATGGTAAGGCTGGAGAAGACCGACAGAGAAGATACAAAGGTCTCCATGGCTGCAGGGGACAGCTTGATGCACCCCCAGTGACTCTGCACTGGCCTGCCTGGAGAAGTGGGCACAGACCCACGTGTGCTCCACCTGAAGGCAAGGGGGCCTCAGTTCCATCGGCCAACTGAGCACCCCCCGCTCTGGCACTCCATCCCCAGTCTGCTCTCCCCTTCACTGGTGGCAGTCATAAGGAAAAGGCGAGTGTTAATAATGGGGGAGTCAATCATTAGAAACATAGATAGCTAGGTTTATGATGACTGGGAGAACTGTATGGTGACTTGCCTGCCTGGCATGAAGGTTACAGATCTCTTGAGACAGCTAGATACAGTTATGTATAGTGCTGGGAAGGAACCGGTGGTCGTGGTACATGTAGGTACCAATGACACAGGAAAGGATAGGACAGAGGTTCTGGAGGCCAAATTTAGGCATCTAGGAAAGAGATTGAAATCCAGGACCTCTATGGTAGCATTCTCTGAAATGCTTCCAGTTTCACATGCAGGGCCAGGTAGGCAGGCAGAGCTTCAGAATCTCAATGCATGGATGATATGATGGTGTAGAGAGGAGGGGTTTAGATTTATTAGGAACCGAGAAACTTTTGGGATAGGGAAGCCTATGCAGGAAAGATGGGCTCCACCTAAACCAAAATGGAACCAGACTGCTGGCACTTAGTTTAAAAACTGCTCTACAACCTTTTTAATGTTAAGGGCTGGGGGAAAGCCGATGGGTGCGGAGGAGCACATAGGTCGGACAGATATCTCTTAGAGGAGATGTCTCTGTGTTCTTGTCAGGAGGAGAGGATGGAAACATGGGTCAGATCAGATGACACACAATCAAATGAAAAAGCGTCTGATACATTGGGAAATGGCAGACAGATAAATAGCGACAATTATTAAAGTGCTTATACACCAAAGCTTGGAGTCTAAATAATAAAATGGGTGAACTAGCGTGCCTTGTTTTAAAGGAGGATATTGAACCAAAATATCCCATAGAATCTCTGTGGATAGTAATTCCATGCTCCAATAATAAGAATATAGCAGTAGGGATATTATCGGCCACCTGATCAGGACAGTGACTATGACTATGAAATACTAAAGGAGATTAGAGAGGCTATCAAAATAAAAAACTCAACTATCCACATATTGACTGAGTACACGTTACCTCAGGATAGGATGCAGAGACAAAATTTTTTGATGTGTTAAATGACTGCTTTTTGGAGCAGCTGGCTCTGGAACCCACAAGGGGAGAGACTATTAGTCCTAAGTGGACTAAATTTAATGTATTAAAATTTAACATTCCCGTGATGGGAAAAACACCTCTGCAGCGCAACACTGTGGCATTTAATTTCAGAAAGTGGAACACAAAAACGAAGAAATGAAATAGAAATGAAAAGGTACAGTGACAAAAGTAAAATCTCTACAAGCTGCATGGAAACTTTTCAAAGACACCATAATAGAGGCCTAACTTAAATGAATAGCCCAAATTAAAAACATATAGTAAAAGAACCAAAAAAATGCCACCATGACTTTACAACCAAGTAAAAGAAGCAGTGAGAGATAAAAAGACCTCTTTTTAAAAGTGGAAGTCAAATCCTAGTAAAGAAAATAGAAAGGAGCATAAACTTTGTCAAATTACCGGTAAGTGTAAAAATATAATAAAAAAAAAGCCAAAATGGAGTTTGAAGAATAGCTAGCCAAAAACTCAAAAAGTAATGGCAAAATGTTTTTTAAGTACATCAGAAGCAGGAAGTCTGCTAAACAACCAAGGAGGCTTTGGATAATCGAGATTAAAGTGCTCAGAGATGATAGTCATTGCAGAGAAGCTAAACGAATTCTTTGCTTCAGTCTTCATTTTGCTGAGGATATCACCCACTACATTAGAGGCTCATACAACAGCATACAGGGTGATATCTTTTTTAACTCAATTCCAGTTAACCAAAACTGAGTTACTTCCTGACATTACTGCATGCATGAATCAATTACATGAAATTGTTATTCAAATTATTGTTATAGACTCAAAATACTTGTGCAGTGCTTTACTTTTGCCAAGTGCTTTACCAAAAATAATCAAAATACCATACCTCTCCTGTATTTGTATATTCACTGTAACTATTTAAAAATATTTAGGGATACCTGTCTCAATCTTTTTTCTTACCTGTAGTCCTTTGTATGCTAGAGCTCTTCTATAAAAAGCTTTGATGTTAGAGTTTTCTATGTGAAGAACACGATCACAATCCTGTTTAGCCTCTTCATATTGATACAATTTTAAGTAACAGAGAGCCCTAAAATAATACAATAAAATACAGCTCAGTTTAAGGGAATTGTGTTGGTTGTTAGAATTAAGCATAACTTAAAAAAAATGGATTTCTTCAAAAATGCTTATGCTATAAGTTATCACAGCACTGGATTTATAATATTTTCACATGGCCAATTCCTGCAATATTTTCTCAAGCATAACTCAAAGAGACTTTCACAGCTAAATTAAACACAGGGATAAGTATTTGCAGTATCAATGTCTATGTCACTATAATACACCTAAATACTTCAATGGGACATCAGTTAAATAATGGCTAAGGAAAAACAGAGGGCCACCTAGTAAATCATTACCACTACTTTCTGCAGCATTTTGCAGCTAGGTATTACTTGGAGGTCTCATATCTAAATACTCTCCCAGTAAAATCCTTATTAATTTGTGGGAGCTGATAGGATTACAGCATATTTGGAACCAATGAACATACCAGAGCCAAACGAACCTGAGCTGCCAGGGCAGTGGAGCTCCTTAGGACCAAGAATATAGCTGGAACTGACTTAGGGACAACAATGTATTTGAAGAAGTGCACAAAGTCAGATCCAATAGTATTCATAAATCCATATCTCTTAGGCTGTGTCTCGATTGCCCCCCTTTTCCGTAAAAGGGATGCAAATTAGACACAGCGCAATTGCAAATGAAGAGGGGATTTAAATCTTCCCCGCTTCATTTGCATAAACATGGCTGCCGCTTTTTTCTGGCTCGGGGCTTTGCTGGCAAAAAGCGCCAGTCTAGACGGGGATCTTTCGGAAAATAAAGCCTTTTCCGAAAGATCCCTTATTCCTCTTAAAATCGGGAATAAGGGATCTTTTGCAATGATCCAAGAGCCAAAGGGGACAGAGAAGCAACACAAGGAGATGGAGACTGGCAAAGCAGCACAGCCTGCAGCTGGGTGTGGTGAGCAGCCGGGACCAGCAAAGTAGGGGGAGAGTCTCTGGGCAGGGAGACACCACCAGCCAAGAGGCCCTGCAGGCCAGACTAGGCCTGCAGCCCCCCTGCAGCACAGCCAGGGCCTGAGAGAGAGCCCTGTGACCTATAAGGAACAGACTATGAACTGTCCTTACACTCTGCAGACTGCTCGTCCCCATGCTACAGAGCAGGACTGTGTGTTCTCATTTAACCTTTGTCATTTTTTCTTATTCTTTTCTCTTTAATCAGTTGATGTTTAATAAATTGTATTTACTTTGAACTGTATGAAATGATCACTGGGTCAAGAAAGCATGCAGTGTGAAGAGAGCACCCCGGAGTGGGGACACCCTAGCCCCTGCCCCAAGTGACTACAAGGTCAGAGATTAAGCCCCAGGAAACCTGGGCCCAGCCTTGTTGGGATTTCGAGGACTCTGCTACTCAGGAGAATGGAAGGGGAGCCCTCAGGGTCAGGGAGGCTGTTGGGTAAAGGAAGTGGGAGCAGGGACTCAGATCTTTTCGTTGGTCCATTTCACCGGGGTAGTATAGAAGCGAGGAAAGTTCCCCACAATAGCGGGACCATTCCCCAGCTTACATTTAGTATACTTATAAAATATGGCAGAGATTTCAGCTCTTTACCTGTTAGTATAGATAGCACATTCCTTTGAATTTAACTTCATGCACTCATTGTATTTCATTAGAGCTTCTTTATATTTACCCTTCTTTACAAATTCATTTCCTTCATTCTTAAGGATCTTGAAATTCTCCTCAGCTTTTTTACCTTGGTAACAAAAGGACAAAAATATTATTTTTAAAATGACCAGTTTATTAATAACCCACCCAGATTACAATACACTGGCCCTGTAGTAGCTTAAAGATCATGATTTTGATTCCTTGAGTCACAATCTCTCTTATCTTCACTGGTCCAAGGAAAAAACAAACTGTACCAGACATAAACCTGGCACAGTGTATGCTCTCCAAAAGTTGCTATATATTGGGAAAGAAGGCAGGGCTAAGGTTCCACACATTCACCACTTCTACCTTCCCAATCATGTGTGCATACTCAGGAGGGATGACATAGCTGCATTGCATTGCACTGCAGCCCTACCAGTGATGTTGGTGGATGGAGTAGTGGTGTAATAATCCCTCAAATAACTGCACCACTTCACTATCCAGTCTACAATTTGTTTTGAAGACAATCTATCATAATGCTTATGGTAAACTGGCAACTAGGTAGGATGTTAGTAAGGATAAATCATACCAATTTTTTCGTTTCTAGCTTACTGAAGAAAACAATTTCGAATGCAATGAAGCAAACTATCTGTGTGCATAATTTCTCTCTGTGACAATGTGTTCCTATCACATATGGTAGATAAAAATCAACTACCTTTTACATAAAACATATTTTCATTGTAATTAGATTTTTTTTATTAAAAACATCTTATTTTTTAAAAATAAACATCTAAAATTAAAATTGAAAACCTGCATTAAGACCAATACTTATAATCTTACACCAAAAATAAAATTAAACAATACTTGGTGCCCAGTTTTAAAGAAAGTCAAAACACTGAACTGGTAGAAGTTACTAGCTAAGCACCTAAAACCTAAGTTGCTGAAGTGCTAAACCAGTTTTTGATAGCAGTATCTTCTTCCATAGGTAAACAGAAAATATTTTCTTTTCTGTTTATTTAGGTCCGTGGTCCCCAACACGGTGCCCGCGGGTGCCATGGCGCCCGCCGGGGCATTCGTGGGCGCCCGCCGACAACCTGGGCCAGCCCCGCCCCCCGCGCACAGGAGGTGCCCAAAGACCAAAAA